AAATCCTTCCATTCCCCACCATCCAGTCAGAACTGAAGAAGCTTCCTGGATGAGAAGTGAAACGTCTTCAAAGAAAAAGCAAGAAAGTCCAGTTGCCTCTTGAAAAAGCACCTTTGGGACACTCCTCAAAGAACTTTTTTTTCTCACACCAGGTCTTCTTTCCCCTTTTCCCTCATGTGGGAAGGAAGGACCCGATCCTGCCATTTACTTGATATTTATTGAGATATCAAATAAATATCCCTGAAAGACCAGTGGCTTCAAGAGATCCCTCAGGCCTGACTCTGTTTCTTTTCACAGGACCCTTTCGGTGTAAGCTGGACTTTCTGCATCAACTTTGCCCTTCCAAATTGTGGCCAGTGCACCAACTTGACCCAAAGACCCTTCTTCTGTCCTGGACCCCCTTCCCCAAAACACTCCTGGGTTCATTCCGTCTTCTCTGCAATAAAGCATTGGATTCTGGCTTCCCTCTCAGTCTCTGGTGTCTTCTTCTGCCCCATTTCCATTCCCCCACCCCACCCCCGTGTGAACAAGAGGGGCTGAGGCTCAGGGCGTCTTTCCAAGAGAGAGTGAAGAAGGAAAGATCCGGGATGGTTGAGCCTTAGAGGAAGTAGGCCCATGTTGGATGGAGAAATAACAGAATAACACAATAACAGAGTTGGAAGGGACCTTGAAGGTCTTCTAGTCCAACCCCCTGCTCAAATAGCAAAGCCCATAGCATTTCAGAAAAGTGTTTGTCCAATCTCTTCTTAAAAGCCTCCAGTGATGGATGTCTATGGAGATTCTCAGTCACCCAGGCCATGGTTGTCTCAAGGATGCTTTTTCCAAAGGAAACTGGACTTTGTTTTTCCTCAAAAAAAAAAAAAAAAGTATAGCCTTTGGAAAAAGGTCTTTTGAGACTCCAGTGGTGGAGCACCCACATCTTCTGGAGGCAAGCAGTTCCACTGGTTAATTGTTCTCACTGTTGGGAAGTTTCTCCTTAGTTCCAGGTTGCTTCTCTCTTTGATTAGTTTCCATCCGTTGCTTCTCAACTTGCCTTCAGGTGCTTTGGAGAATAGCTTGACTCCCTCTTTTTTTTTTAAAAAAAATTTTTTGATTTATATGCCGCCCTTCTCCGGAGACTCAGGGCGGCTTACAATGCGTTAAGCAATAGTCTTCATACTTTTGTATATTTTATACAAAGTCAGCTTATTGCCCCCACAATCTGGGTCCTCATTTCACCTACCTTTGAAAGGATGGAAGGCTGAGTCAACCTTGAGCCTTGGAGAGATTTGAACTTGCAGTAATTGCAAGCAGCAGTTGTTAATAACAGTGCTTTAGTCCACTGTACTACAGGTTCTTGACTGTCTCTTCTTTGGGGCAGCCCCTTAAATATTGGAAGACTGTGATTATGTCACCCCTAGTCCTTCTCTTCTCTAGACCAGCCATGCCCAGTTCCTGCAATTCATTCTTCATATGTTTTAGTCTCCAGCCCCCCTCATCATCTTCGTTGCTCTTCTCTGCACTCTTTCCAGAGTCTCCACATCATAATTTTTTTTATATTGTGTCAACCAATACTGGATGCAATATTCCAAGTGATGGTTCACTGGCCAGAGATCCTGTTGGGCTCTTTTGTCTTCCCCTGTTGATCCTCTGGGCCACAGCATGTCATGTTTCCCTTGCGTTGCACCAGAGAATAACCATGTCCGGTACTTATAGTATCAATGCATAGATTCAACTGCCAACTTGGGCAGCTGAGACAAACAAAGTGTTCCAGGACACAATAAGATCTCTATCAAGTGCATACAACTCATCAACGCAAAGCTACTACAATGCATGTACCGGAACAAAGGGTCCCCCTCCCTGAATGCAGAGGACAAGATGGGTGGTTCTCTTCTCCATACATCGGCTTTACTCACAGCAAGGTGGGATCAGGAACTCCCTGCTCCAGATTGGCCACTACGTTGGCAGGCCAAAGAGACAATCTGGAGGGACCTCAGCAGGGAGACTGAGACATGTTGGTATCCATGGCTACACAGTCCAAACGCTGCTCTTTCTTCTGCTTTTCAGATGGGTTCAGATTACCAATAGAAGGAAATCTTTGTAGCTCAGGGTTGAACCGTGGGGTGCTTGGTGCTCTCTGAGCTTGGTGGTTTTCTTGCAGACATTTCATGACCCAACTAGATAACATCATCAGTGCTAGAAGGGAGTGAGGTTTGCGGGGAGGAGGAAGAGGAGGAGGAGGAGGAGGGGGAGGGGGAGGGGGAGATGGAGGGGGAGGGGGAGGGGGAGGGAGGAGGAGAAAGGCTTGTGGAATCCTTTGTGGTCTCTGAGCTTGGTGATTTTCTTGCAGACATTTCATTACCCAACTAGGTAACATCATCAGTTCTAGAAGGGAATGGGGTTAGTGGAGTGGAGAAGGAGACGAGGAGGAGTTAGGAGAAGGAGGAGGACTGTAGGGTCCTTGATGGTCTCTGAGCTTGGTGGGTTTTTTGCAGACGTTTTATTACCCAACTTGGTAATATGATCAGTGCTAAAGAGAAATAGGATTGGAGGAGGAGGAGGAGGAGAGCTGATGATGTTACCTAGTTGGGTAATGAAATGTCTGCAAGAAAATTACCAAGTTCAGAGACCACCAAGGAGCCCACAATTTTATATATCATGTAAATTTGATCTTCTAGGATATGTCAGTTCACAACTGACCTCTGAATGTGAGGGGTACTCGGACCCCAATAAGGACCTTCTCTGTATGGCCTGGTAGACCTTTCCTCCTATATTGCTTTGTGGGCTGCTGAGCCTTTTATTTCTGCCCGGGGATGTGATTCCCATCCATCAGGGGACAATTGCGGGGTTGCTGATTTCACAAAGCCCCTGCAGAATCAGCCCAGGGCTTCCCCTAAGACTCAGAATGAAGATTTAATTCTTTTATTTATATTTATTCAATTGTTATGCTGTCCATCTCACTGTGAGGAGAATCATGTTGTAACTTACAACATCATAAAAGCAAAGATAGAAACATTAATGCATTGATATAAAATTTGCAGGAATGAAATAAGTCAGGATCCAGAATACAACAGGGTGGAGGTGGGATCTTAGTCCTCTGACCAGAATGCCTCCTTCCCCCCAAAAAAGTCATTGGCAATAAATGCCTTCCATGCAGGGAGGGGTGTATCATCTTTCCCAAAAATACGTGTCTTCCTGTTTGTGCTTTCATCTTTTTTTTTAATTTGATTTATATGCCGCCCTTCTCCGAAGACTCAGGGCGGCTTACGATGTGTTAAGCAATAGCCTTCATCCTTTTGTATCTTTATACAAAGTCAGCTTATTGCCCCCACAAACTGGCTCCTCAATTTACCTACCTTAGAAAGGATGGAAGGCTGAGTCAACCTTCAGCCTTGGCGAGATTCGAACCCTGCAGTAATTGCAGGCAGCTGGTCTTAATAACCAGCTTAATAACAGGGTGCCTTAAACCACTGTACTACCAAGGCTCTTCAGATCAACACGATATTGCAGAAGGCAAACAAACTTTGACAAGGACCCATTATGGCCCTCTTTCTCCACCTCAGCAATTTTAACCAGGCTGGACTTCCATTCCCAGAATTCCCAGGCCAAGGGGAATTCTGGGAATCAAAGTCCACCCACCTTAAATTTGGATTTGGAGGAAGAGAGACAGGCCAAAATTTAGGCTCAACTCAACTCACAACGCTTGTAAACATTGCGAGCTTTCAAGGCTAAGGATGGTCACCACGTTGTACAGAAAAGATGAATTTGGGAAAAGTGCAGAGAAGAGCAAATAAGACAATTAAAGGCCTGGAGGCTAAAATATATGAAGAACGGTTGCAGGAACTGGGTATGGCCAGTCTGGATAAAAAAAGGACTAGGGGGTGACAGAATAGCAATCTTCCAGTATTTGAGGGGCTGCCCCAAAGAAAAAGAGGCCCCCACCTATTGTCCAAAGCACCTGAAGGCAGGAGAAGAAGCAACGAGTGGAAACTAATCATGGAGAGAAGCAACTTGGAATTAAGGAGAAACTTCCTAACAGTGAGAACAATTAACCAGTGAAATGGCTTCCCTTCAGAAGTTGTAGGTCAGTGATGGCAAACCTTTTCGGCACCAAGTGCCCAAACTGGAACGCCCGTGTGCATGTGTGCCCAAGCCCTGGAACCTCAAAGACCAGGTGGCCAGTGCATATGTGCACCGGCCACCTGGTCTCTGGCATATGCACGCTCACCGCCCAGATGGTCTTTGCACGCACCATAGCGCCAGAAACCAGGCAAGTAGGTGGCTGGCACACACATGTGCACCAGCCAGCTGGACTTTGGGTTTCCAGGGCTCCGGCATGTGCGAAGATCAGCTGGCCAGCACACAGGCACACACCGGAAACCAGAAGAGGAGCTGGTGATGGCACGTGTGCCCACAGAGAGGACTCTACTTGCCACCTCTGGCGCACGTGCCATAGGTTCACCATCACGGTTATAGGTGCTCCATTACTGGAGGCTTTTGAGAAGATCCGGAACAGCATTTGTCTGAAACGGTCTAGGGTCTCCTGCCTGAGCAGGACTAGAAGACCTCCAAGGGCCCTTCCAGCTTCTATACTATTGCTGTTATTTCTATTCTATAGATCCATCATAGAGTCCAGCAACCACTCTCAAGCGTCCAACTCGACTCACAGAAGCCTCTGCCCTCCACAATCGGGTCAGAAGCTCTGTGACCCCACTAGAGGCTTTGTCAGTCAGTTCCTGACCGGTGCATCTGCCAGGGACTGGAAGCAAAATCGGAAGCCGCCATGAGTGGAAACGTCAACCTCTCCCTTTCACCAAAGCCACATCCTGGTTCTTCTCCAAAGGATTCTCCTCTTTCTTCTCCCTCTTCTCCTCCCTCCCTCCCTCCCTCCCCCCCTGCAGCATTATTGTTTCGGCTGGGCTGGGCTGGGCTTGAGCATGGAAAAGCCACCTTCTAAGCTGATGAGGTCTGGGATATAAGAAGCCAGCTGTGATTGAGGGACAGAGAGAATTGGGGACACCATGGGACCTTCCGGCCTCCTGCTCTTCCTCTTCTTCCTCTTCCTCTCCATGGGCTCTGCTCTGTTCCCCATCTCCCTGCCAGTGAAAACTATCAAGCTTCCTATAGGTGAGTCAGGATGCGGGGGTCCTTGGTGCTTCTCTGAGCTTGGTGGTTTCCCTGCAGACCCAAAGGTGCTTTTTCAAAGCTGGACTGGACTTTGTAATTTTTCCTTGAAGACCTTTCGCTTCTCATCCAAGAAGCTTCTTCACTTCTGAAGAGCTGAAGAAGCTTCTTGGATGAGAAGCAAAACGTCTTCAAGGGAAAAAGTCCAGTTACCTTTTGGGGAAAAAAAAACACCTTTGGGACAACCGTGACCTGGATGACGGAGAATCTCCATAGACATTTTCTTGCAGATGTTTCCTTACCAAATCAGGAGAGAGCATCAGGGGGTAAGGATGGTCATCCTTCCCTCTTCTGCAACTTGGATCCAGGTTTTCAGGGTGTCACCTTCAGCCCTGAGCTTCCTGTGTTTGCAGGAACCCTCCTGTCCTTACCCTGACCACTGCGATGGGGAATACCAGGAAGAGGCAACCCCTCCCCCGAGACTCTACTGCTCAAAGTTGGTGGAATGCAAATTGGCTATTTAATCTTGCAATTTCATTATTATTATTATTATTTGCACTGTTTTTAATCCTTTTGGTGAAGGGGGGGTGACTTTTGCAAGCCACTCCAAACCTCTTCTGATCAAAGCAACAAATAAACCCCAATAAATCATACAAATGGAGTCCCTTCCTGAAGTCCTCAAGTGGCAGGAAGACAATCTCCGGAATGAAGGAGGAATTTCCGGACAGTGAAAACAATTAATCAGTTGAACGGCTTGTGGCTGCTCCAACTCTGGAGGTTTTTCCAGAAGAGACTGGACAACCCTTTGTCCAGAATGGTAGGGTTTCTTGCCTGAGCAGGGGGTTGGACTAGAAGACCTCCCAGGTCCCTTCCAATTCTGTACGGCGCTGTTCTGTTGTCCAAAGCCCCTGAGGGCAGGGCAAGAAGAAATGGGTGGAAGCTCATTAAAGGGAGATTCAATCTGGAAATAAGGGGAAATTTCCGGATTATTAATCAGTGGGACTGCTTCCCACCCAGAGTTGTGGGTGCTCCATTGTGGAGGTTTTCAAAAATATGACCCGGATAGTGCGAGGACCTTGGGCAGAGGTTGGACTAGAAGACCTCCCAGGTCCCTTCCAGGCCTTGGATTCTCAGAATCGAGCATTCCCCAACAGACTTCCTACAAGCTCCCTTCTGCTCCCCAATCTCCTTCTCCAAAAGCAGCCAAAGGAAGGCACAAAATCACACATCAGCAGCTTCCTCGCCTCTGCTTCCTTGGGCACATGACTCCGATGTTGGAGGAGCGATGGTCCAGCTACTCCCTCCCTCGCCCCGTTCCTGCTTCTGACTCATTTAAAGTCAGAAACTTTAATAAAAGATTAATGGAACTCATTTTGCGAATGGTGTTGGCAGCAGTTTGGCTCCCCAATGGGTGTGACTTGTGTGTTTCTGCTTCGTCCGTCGTTCCCACTCATTCGTTCCCTCTGAGCATTCGTTGTGGGCCACATTTCAATTTTCTTTTAGGCTTCGTGGTTCTTCACCCCTTTCTGGGCTGCTGACACAGCTAGTCCTCGACTTACAACAGTTCATTTAGTGACCGTTCCAAGTTACAAAAAAAGGGACTGACGATCATTTTTCACACTTATGACCGTTGCGGTCATCACGTCACGTGATCAAAATTCAGACGCTTGGCAACCGGTTCAGATTTATGACGGTTGCAGTGTCCCGGGGTCACGTGATTCCCCCTTTTGCGACCTTCTGACCTTCAGGGCTCCATCACGGAAGACTTTCAAAAAGGGCTGGACTAGAAGACCTCCAAGGTCCCCTCCAGCTCATTCTCTTCTCTTCTCCAAGAGGCAGGGCCACTGAAAGGGTAGAGCGTCCCCTGCGTGAACTCGAAGGTCTTTTCCAACTCTACTATTCTATCTTCTACCAAAGTTGGACACAGGCAGCCACCCCACCAGGACCGAGAGTGTGTGACACGAGAGTGGTGGCCGGAGGCAGATGCCGGTTGCCTTTGGGGAAAGGACGGGCCTGAAATGGTGTAGCGTCTCCTGCTTGAGCAGGGGGTTGGACTACAGGACCTCTGAGGTCCCTTCCAACTCTGTCCTTCTGTCACTTGGCTTTTGCAGGCCTGGATCCTCTCCCTTCTTTGATCCCAAATATTTGCAGCCTTCCTCCCGTCTCCGGACCTTGTCTTGCCCTAATTGAGCGTTGGTATTACAGTCCGAAGCTGAGGCAGTGTCAGCCCTTCTCCTATGGAGGATGTGGAGGGAATCCAAATAACTTCATGACACTGGAGGACTGCGAGCGTGCCTGTTCCCCCTCAGGTAAGACCCTCCTCCTTTCAGAGGAGAGATGGAGGAGGGAGAGGGAGGGGGAGAGGGGGAGGGAGGGAGAAGGGTTATGCCCTGCCCGGGTCTCCTTGGATGCCTGGAAGCCGGGTGGACAATCCTGCCACCTTCTCCTCTCAGAGAGGCTCGGTGGGCAGCTATGACATCAGGACCTGTGTTGGTTCCAACCGGGGGTGGAGGGCATCCACTGAGGGGTATCAGTGTCCCCTTGGTCCTCTCCATCACCATCTGTGTTTGAGGTGCCAGTTTGCCAGCGGGTGAAAATTGGGGAGAACATTTTGCACTCATGTTGGGTGGGGGTGGGGGGGTCCCTGCACTGCCATTCTGCCCAATTTCCTTTCTTAATCCCAGGGAGGGAGACATTTGGGAGCATTCACCCCACCCCTTCCCAAACTTTCCAAATCCCCCCTTCCTCAAAGGACTGGTTTGCCTCTGTGGCTGCAATGCTTCTCCCTCCCCTCAGGACTTTTGGGGAGGGTCCGGGGAGGAGAAAGAGAGGGAGGGGAGAAGAAAAAGAGTAGGAGGGGGAGGATGGAAGAGGAGGAGGAGGAGGAGGTAGGAAAGGAAGGGGGCGGAGGGCAGGCGGAGGAAGAAGAGATGGAGGAGGAAGAGGAGGAGGGGAGGAAGACGCAGGAGAAGGAAGAGGATGGGGAGGAAGATGGAGAGGGGCGGGGGAGATTGTCACTTGTGCCAAGGGGGGCTCTTATCAAGGACTGCCCCCAAAGGATTCGGGCCGACCCCCATCCCCCCCCCAAGGTTCAAGCTGAATGGGGGGAGACCCGCCCAGCCTCGCTCTCCTCCTTCTCCTTCTCCTCCTCTTCCAGCCCCGATCAGGCCCGGCTCCTGCCCGCCCCCCTTGGCCTTCCCAGTTAAGAGTTGCGGCGAGTTCTGCTTCTCGGACGACAGCTGCCCGGGTGACCAGCGCTGCTGCGACACTGGCTGCGGGCACCAGTGCCACCTGGCTGTAGGAGGTAGCGCTCCCTTCTCTGCCAGCCGCCCCACGGGAGGAGGAGGGCTGGGAAAGGGGGGGGACCGGACCCCCCTCCTTTTGCCCCTCCGCCCTTCCTCAGGCCCAGCTCCTGGGTGGGCAAGGCGGGGGTGCTGCCCTCGCCCCCCTCCGGACGTCCACACCTGCGGGCGCTTTCCCTGCTGCCCACCCCCAAATGCCCAGCTGGTGGTCCTGGAGGGCAGGGGGTGGAGGGGCCTCTCTCTCTCACTCCCGCTGTGGGCTTCACCTGGCGAATGACGGCCTGCCCCTGCAGCCCCAAAGGCAGAAGCAGCGACGGCGGCGAGGGGCCCCACTTGTCCCAACGAGGCTCGGGCTGCGGGCTTCCTCCTCACTTTCTCCCCCCGCCCCGCAGCCATCCGCGGCTACTGCCCCCGGCGGAGCCCCTGGCGGAGCCCCCTGGACCGCCACCCGCTCCTCTGCGGCTCCAGCTGCCACCGGGACGCGGACTGCGCCCTCGCCTACCCCGGGAGGAAGTGCTGCCGGTACGGCTGCAGCGAGTCTTGCGTGCCGCCCGTGGAAGGTACAACTCCGACTGGGTCCCCCGGTGGGTGGGGAGGAGAGGGCCCGCTTGTCCCGTTGGGAGCGGGCACTCTGTTCATGCTCAGGGGCACTGCGGCAAAGGCGTCCGCCTGGCTTCCATCTACCTGGCCATTGAAAGTGGGAGGGGGAAGCCCGCTTGGGCAGTGGGGGTGGGGAAATCCCAGGGGTCATCAACCCCACACCCAGAGGGCCCCCACCGACCTACCTCTCCTGCCCGGCCAGAGCACCCAGGCGTCTGCCCCAAGATGCCCGTCCTGCAGACCTTCGCACCCTGCAACGACACCTGTACCGATGACCGGCAGTGCCCACTGGAGGAGAAATGCTGTTTCGATGGCTGCCGCCTCTCCTGCCTGGACCCAGGTACCCCCCACCCCCAGCCCTCGCCCCCTCGCCCCTTTGCTCTGCCCCATTGGGCCCAGCCGGATCCCCTGCCCAACACCGCCTCCGTCTCACCCCGTCCAGATCACCGTTCGCGATGCCATCTGCCTGCCAAGCCAGGACCCTGTCCGGCAGTGCACCGACGCTACTTCTACAGCCGGAGCCATGGCCGCTGCCGGTTCTTCTTGTACGGCTGCATGGGCAATGCCAACAACTTCAGGAGCAGGAGCGAGTGCCAGAGAGCCTGCGGCAGGAGCCGGCCAGGTAGGCCAGGTGAGGCTGGAGTCTTAGCGGACAACCAGCTAAATAGGAGCCAGCCGTTTGCAGCAGCAGCCGAAAAAAGCCAATGCAATCCTCAGTTGCATGAACAGAGGGATTCAATCAAGATCAAGGGAGGTTCTAATACCATTCTATAAAGCCTTTAGTAAGGCCACTCCTAGAATTCTGCACCCAGTTTTGGTCACCACACCATAAAAAAAGAGGTTAAGACTTGGAAAGAGTGCAGAGAAGAGCAACCAGGATGATGAGGGGACTGGAGGCTAAAACATACGATGAACGGTTGCAGGAACTGGGCATGGCTAGTCTAGTGAAGAGAAGGACCAGGGGAGACAGGAGAGCATCTTCCAATATTTGAGGGGCTGCCACAGAGAGGAGAGGAGGGGGCCAAGCTGTTTTCCAAAGCTCCTGAAGGCCAGACAAAGAACAACGGATGGAAACTGATCAAGGAGAGATTCAACCTAGAAATAAGGAGGAATTTCCTGACAGTGAGAACAATCAACTGATGGAACAGAAGTTGCCTTCGGAAGTTGTGGAGGCTTCATCCCTGGAGGCTTCCAAGAAGAGACTGGACTGCCATCTGTCAGAAATGGTGTAGGGTCTCCTGCTTGGGCGGGGGGTTGGACTAGATGACCTACAAGGTCCCTTCCAACTCTGCTAATCTGTATCTGTATCCTCCTATGAATGGGGGGTGCCCAACCTCAGTTTCTTCCCCATTCCCCCCAGTGCCTCTCTTGCCTTTCCTCCGCAGGCCCCATCTAAGAATGAGACCCTGGACCGGCTGCTCCCTTCGGCTGCAGGATGGGACTTCTTCAGACCAGGAGGATGGACATACAGCCAGCAGTGCTGGGCCCCCTTGGGAAACAGCTGGCATCGCCCCCCTCCCCAAAATAAAGGCAATATTTTCTCATTACACCCCACAGGCTGGTCTGTGAGTTGAAAGCTTCCATCCCTTGTGCAGAGGCCCCTTTTCTGTGGGGGGGGGCAGAGCTGCTGCAGCGCATAAGGCCGTGCTGGAGTCATTGTGGCCATCATCATGTGTCCATCCACGCACAACCCCCACCCCCCCATGGAAGACCCTCGGTTAGCCCAGGGAACAAAGATATTAACAGACGGTCTGCATATCTGAAATAAAATGTAGATTCCTTAGGAAATTAATAAGAGTGTACAAGTAGCCCTTGGCTTACAATAGTTTGTATAGAATGGAATGCAATAGAATAAGGAGTAGAGTAGAGTAGAGTAGAGTAGAGTAGAGTAGAGTAGAGTAGAGTAGAGTAGAGTAGAATAGAATGGAATAGCATAGCATAGCATAGCATAGCATAGAATGTAGGACAGGACAGAACAGAATGGGATAGAATGGAATGGAATGGAATGGAATGGAATGGAATGGAATGGAATAGAATAGAAGAATAGAATAGAATAGAATAGAATAGAATAGAATAGCATAGAATGTAGGACAGGACAGAACAGAATAGGATAGAATAGAATGGAATGGAATGGAATAGAATAGAATAGAATAGAATAGAATAGAATAGAATAGAATAGAATAGAATAGAATAGAATAGAATAGAATGTAGGACAGGACAGAACAGAATAGGATAGAATAGATTAGAATAGATTAGAATAGCATAGAATGTAGGACAGGACAGGAGAGAATAGAGTAGGATAGAATGGGATAGAGCTGGAAGGGACCTTGGAGGTCTTCTAGTCCAGCCCTCTGATCAAGCAGGAGAACCTAGACCGTTTCAGACCAGTGACTGTCTAGTCTCTTCTTAAAACCTCCAGTGATGGACACCCACGATTTCAATGACTGTTCAGAGTTACAACGGCACTGGAAAAAGTGATTTAGGACCGTTTTCACACTTATGACCGTTGCAGCCTCCCCAGGGTCACGTGATCAAAATCCAGATGCTTTGCCACAGACTGAGATTTATGACGGTCGCCGTGTCTCTGGGATCAGGTGATCCCCTTTTGTGACCTCCTAAGAAGCAGGGTCCACGCGGAAGCCGGGATTCGCTTAACAACCGTGTGACTAATTTAACCATTGCAGTGATTCAGTTAACAACATTGGCAAGAAAGGTCATAGAGTGGGGCAAAACTCATTGCCTCGCTTAGCCATGGAAATTTTGCTCGCAATTGTGGTCGTAAGTCGAGGACTATCTGTGCCTTGCAGGAACCTGCCTGCACGGAAGCTCCCCTTCTTTCTCCGTCCCTGTAGAGGTTCCTCTAGGCAGCAGCAGGGCAGGGCAGGGCAGAAGCACCCCTGGGGGGGGAGGGGGGCTCCAGAGGTGGCTCTCTCTGCCCTCCCCAAGGCCAGCCTGGGGCTGGGGGGCTCAGCCCAGGGCAGACGGGGAGAGCCGCCCCTTTTCAGGGCCATCTGGGCTGGGTGGGCCTCCAGAAGGCACGAATATTCAAAGGGAGGGCTGGGCGAACAGAAAGGAAACCAAACCTCAGCCACAGAGAGAAAAGCAAGCAGGTGGAAGAAGATGTAAAAAAAGAGCAGGGGGTCAGACTAGAGGACCTCCATGTTTCCTTCCAGTCCAAGGATTCTGTGCTTCAAATTTCCTCCAAACTATGCAGAAAACTCACCGCTGGAGTATCCAGATGCTGAACCAATGCGGGGTCCTTGGTGGTCTCTGAGCTTGGTGGTTTTCTTGCAGACATTTCGTTGCCCAACTGGGTAACATCATCAGTGCTAGAAGGGAAGGGGGTTTGCACTGATGATGTTACCTACTTTGGGTCATGAAACATCTGCAAGAAAAGCACCAAGCTCAGAGAGCACCGAGGACCAAGGGATGAAATGTAAAATTTGTTACTACCGGCTCTGTGGGCAGGGCTTGGTGGCGGGGGGGGTAATGTGACTGGGTGGGCTGGCCAACTTTTTTTTTTTTTACTTTTAAAAGCATTTTTTCTACAACCTCTTCAGCCGAAGAGGTTGCAAAAAAATGCTTTTAAAAGAAAAAAAAGCCTCTGACGATCAGGCAGCTCAGCTGGGATCATCAGAGGCTTTTAAAAGCATTTTTTTCACAACCTCTTTGGCCGAAGAGGTTGTAGACAAAATGCTTTTAAAAGATTAAAAAAAGCCTCTGATGATCCCAGCTGAGCAGCTCGATCGTCAGAGGCTTTTTAAAAAAACTTTTAAAAGCAATGCGCGCCACAGCTGATCACCCACCTTCTCGCGCGCTGCTCTACTTACCACATGCCTCCTTTTTTTTTTAATTAAAGAGTTTTAGAAAAAAAAATTTTTTACAAATATTTCCCCATCCCCCTCCTCCCTTCCTTACCCCCCCAATGCACAGCCAATGAACCGATAGTAAACCGGTTCAGATTTCACCACTGCCGTCCATCACATGGCCCAATCAATCCACCGTCCCAACGGAAGACAACCCCCCAGTGACTCCCATCCAGGTGCAGTCCGAATGCCCTTGACTCCCAGAGAAAGGACTGTTGTTATGGCTAACCCTCCACCATTCTGTGTAATCCCCCCTCCTGTTTTCCCAGGCACTAAATGTGGCAGCCCTGAAGCTCCAAAGAAAAAGATGGCTTCCAGGGCTGACAGGAGGAGGAAGAGCAGAGGTGTCCACAGGGAAGGGGTCAACAAGGTTGCCCATAAACAGGGACAGACCTGGAATCTCATGGTGGTGGCCACCATCTTCACCTTTGGAGACCCCTCCTTGTGGACACCCTTGATTGTAGATCATTGTAGATCAGAGGTCCCTAAACCTGGCAACCTTTGAGACCTGTGCACTTCAACTCCTGGAGTTCCCCAGCCAGCAGGGAATTCTGCGAGTTGAAGTCCACAAGGCTTAAGGTTGCCACGTTTGAAGAGCCCTGATGTAGAGGAAGAATAGCAGAAGACCTTCCGTGAAGAGCATCTTCACAAAGAGGACAACCCACCCAATCTGCCTGTAGGTTGCCTCTCTCTTTCTCTGGAGCTTCCATTCAGCTGCCAGGCCTGGCCGGCCAGACCGAACATTCTGTGATGGCCAGATGGCTATCATATCCTCCCTGATGCTATCTCTCCACGGCATTGTGGAAGATCAGAAGCCGTTTCCGAAACAATGGAAGGGCAGCATCATAAGGAAGGTGTGTTCCAGAAGAAAACAGTCACTGATGTATTCTTGGAAGCACGTCCCTAACTGGGGACTTTAAGATACAGGAACCCTTGCACAAAAGGTTTGTGCACCGTCTGTTTCTATGAAAGTTAAGGGACCATCCTGGTAGCAAAGTGCCACCTACCATGTCTCCCTGAAAAAAAGACAGGGTCTTATATATGCTCCAAAAGATGCATTAGGGATTATTTTCAGGCGATGTCTTATTTTGGGGGAAATACAGTATTAAATGCATCCGTCTGGCTGACGATCTCAACTGGGGCTTATTTTTGAGGGTAGGTCTTATATTACGAGCATCCAGAAAGCCAGGCTTATTTTCCGGTTGGGTCTTATTTTCAGAAAAACACGGTAGTTGCCTAATGGAATAATAGAATTGGAAGGGACCTTGAAGTCTTCTAGTCCAACTCCCTGGTCAGGCAGTAAACCCTAAACCATTTCAGATAAGTGACTGTCCAGTCTCTTCTTTAAAACCTCCAGTGTTGGAGCATTCACAACTTCTGGAAGCAAGTTGTTCCACTGGTGAATTGTTCTTACTGTTAGGAATTTTCTCCTTAGTTCAAGGTTGCTTCTTTCCTTGATTACTTTCCATCCGTTGCTTGAAGAGAGCTGTAATGGAAAGTTAAGATCCCATCATTCGCCCCTGCTGCCCTTTCCTTAGCACTGGGGAGACCAGCCAGGTGCTCTTATTATACCTTTTGACTTCAGGTCAGTCCCTCACCTCACAGGGTTGTTGTGGGGAAAACAGGAGGAATAAGGAATATGAGGGGTGTGACTGCAGCTCACATGACTGCCGCAACCCGTCATAAAGATAAGTGGTTGCCGACACCCAAAATGTGGCCCTGGGACTATAGCAGAGGTCTCAACCTTGACAACTTTAAGCCTGAAGGACTTCAACTCCCGGCAAAGCTGGCTGGGGGATTCTGGGAGTTGATGTTAGGTGTTTTGTGCCAGCCATGGCAGTTTCTTAAAAGGCCACCAGATGGGAGCAAAGAGGGTCTTTTGATCCCACTGGTGGGTCAAGGGGCTCCGGCCCCTGCAGTCCCGTTGGGGAGAGTTAATGGCCCTCCGGCCCCCTCACACTTTGGTAAGGGAGAGGCCAGGGGCTCCTATAAGAACCCCTGCACAGGGGCTGCTCTTTGGCTCTTGTTCTAACTACCTACAGGACTGAACCATGGGCTCAATCCAGGCATGGATGCCTCCATGCCAGGGAACTCATTTTACTCTACTTTACTTCTAAATAAAGATTTAACTTGATTGCATCCTTGCGTGCTGACTTTTCTTGGAAGTGCCCTCAATGAACCATCGATCTTTGTGAGATCCCTCTCAAAGTGGTAGCAGAGGATGGTTTGAGGCAATGCTTCCAAGCCAGCAGAAGCAAGATGTCTGGAGGTTCCAGCAAGAACCCTCAAGAGATGAATGGCAGGAGATCCCCGATTGTCACCAGAAGTCCTAAACCAAGAATGGCAACCCTGCATCCAGTCTCTGATGCAAACTTCAATCCAGAGGAGGGTACAGATGATCTCTATGCCCCCAGAGATCCCAGCAGAGCGCCAGGGAGCCCTTCGCACGCTTCCCTGCGATTGCAAGCCACAGAGGAAAGCATGAAAGGCCAGCAGTCCACCCAGGATTGCCAGGACATTGGGGAAGCGGCCAGAGACTAGGCCACCCCCAGCGTAGACCAGCTCACTGGCGAAGAATGCAGAGAGCTGCTACGAATGCTCCTAGCAGCCCGAGGGATGCCATGAGCCCAGCCACGTGGAACACCAGTGCAGGGGGCCTCTGGACACCGGATAAGTCCTTC